AACCGCACATAACTTGCGACTCCTAAAAATAAGGAATTACTTTGTAATTCCCTATATGTTATGTGTTTCCATTATTATATGACTACGGATTACTACATATATTATATTATTGGTACAATATTTTAATTGTTTTATTAACATTTTTTATATATAAGAGTATACAAAAGACCCGTTGCAAATGCCCCTTAGCGAGAAGAATTAACATTTTTAAATCTCATGTCTAATGCACGTTTTATTCCCTTACTGTCCGTGAAGGTAGATAACGCTTTATTGCCCTCCGTTTTTTAACACTTAATATGTATTACTTACTTTGCATAATTACCTACATTGTTGTGAATGAATTCATAAACCTACTTCTATTATTGTCCATACGTACACACAAGTCTTAATGGCCTCTATTTATTTACATTAATTTATTACTATCCATAACTATATGTAATATATTCACCCATTACTATTACCGTAATTATATACTATTACTGCCCTTCATCTTATTCAGACCTGCTTATTAATTCTCTTATAAATTTATAATGTCCCCAAATTTACACACACCCACACATTGCATGTACCTCACGAAACCCCTCTAACTGCCCTCAAACACATTACTCCATGTAGTCCTTATCCTAATGTGTAAACATGTCACTGCCTAACCTTAAAAAAGCCAAACACCACTGCCTTGGCCCTTACCATTTAGTCCATATCTTAAAAATTACTGCCCGTACACTATCCTCACATTCAATCACACCAAAACACAACTCACTGCCCTCAAGCAAAACAAAAAACACTGCCCTTGACCTTCTCTTTCCTTACATACTGCCCACCCTTTCCAGAACCATTGTTACATTGTTCCTCTTCCAATTCAATAAAACATGGAAACCACATTGTCCACACACAGAAGAATTGGATGTCGAACAACAACAAAAAGCCAAAACAATTCAAAAAACTTTGTTGGGACTTGATACATCGTTGTTCACCGCCATCACTTCCTTAAGTGTGCACACCCCCTAAAAGGGATTCCAAGCCCTCCGAGTAGTAAGTCATCCCGAGTGGTCGGAACCCAACCACCCCACCTTTAAAATTCTTGAATGATTAAGGACTACTACTATAACTTCTTCTTAAAAGGTATCATCGATCCAATTATCACTCAAAACTTATCCTCACCCTTAGCAGTAGCAGGCCTTTTACGTCGGAACTATTACTACTACCACAACTCTCCTTCTTAAAAGGGATCATCGATCCGAAAGTTACTCAAATTGTACTTCTTAGTAATAGCCGCTCTAATCACCCTCCACATTTATCCGGATGAGGAAAACCGACACCACGGATTTCTTCCGTGGTGCTCACTTTTTACGAAATCATTCTTTTATCTTGATTTAATATACTTCAAAATATTCCTCAATTTCTCAAACTGGCTCGAAAATATTTAAATAAAATATTTAATACCCAAAAGCACTTAGTTTCACTTCTCAAATATCACAGATCGAACAATCTCAAAATCTCATGCACATACATCATAACTCACATTAAAATCACGTATCACATAATACATATATATTACGAGGAAACGATTTTGGATTGGCAGAGAAACTTACCTTGATTCACGGTAAATCTTATTCGAAACATTTATCTTGATCTTCTCCAAATTCACCTTCTAGAATATTAAAATTCTAAAATTAATAATTTATTTATAAATTGAGATTAATTAGCCCACCTTAGTTTAACTTATTAAATTACCCGGTTATATCAAGTTTTTCTTATTTCACAAATCTCACTTTTCCAATATAATTTATTCATGATTATTTATTAAAATTCCACTCCAACATAATAATAAAAACAGTCTTGTTCAACCCAAGTTTTTTTTAAACAATTACGATACTTACGTAGAGCACTAGTAAGGCATACACACGGAGCAGCGGTAAGGCATACATATGGATCGTCTTCTTTGTTGTTTCAGCAGCGAAGAACAGGGGAGGAACTCCGGCCATGGCAGCAGCGGCTCTCCAACGGATATGTCGTCCTGCAGCGGTGTGGCGAACCGGCGACGCGTTCCAGCAGTTCCGTCCGAAACCACAACGTCGTCTTCACTCGGCCAGTCAACTGTGACCAAGGTGGTTAAGAGTTGGCTAAAAACTCGCTGTCTACCTCCGGCGATGCTCATCATGTGGCAGCGTGAGGCAGCGAAGATGACGGCCCTTCTATTCTCTCCTTCGTTCTCCGGCGCGAAGACCAGTCCGGCGGCAACTCCGGCAAGCCATTTCTCCTCCGACAACATTCGGTTTTCTCCATCTATCTTTCTCTTTTACTCTCTCTATGCAGCATAATAATCATATATGTGTGTTTATATATATTTTCTACGTACTAGTGGGTAGCGAATCAGTCCGGACTCGCAGCTCTAAATCTCCACGGCGGAACTGGCCCTCCTCTTTTCTCCTTCGCGACCCAGACCATCTCTGAGCCTCTCCATTTTTCTCTCGTGAGTTTAGCTGGTATAGGACGGCGAGTATATGTTTGTAGTTTTTTCAACTACAGAGTATATGTATATATATATATAAGCATCAATCTGGGCTTAGGGTTCAGGTAATTGAGTTCTACCCGTTGCAAATGCCCCTTAGCGAGAAGAATTAACATTTTTAAATCTCATGTCTAATGCACGTTTTATTCCCTTACTGTCCGTGAAGGTAGATAACGCTTTATTGCCCTCCGTTTTTTAACACTTAATATGTATTACTTACTTTGCATAATTACCTACATTGTTGTGAATGAATTCATAAACCTACTTCTATTATTGTCCATACGTACACACAAGTCTTAATGGCCTCTATTTATTTACATTAATTTATTACTATCCATAACTATATGTAATATATTCACCCATTACTATTACCGTAATTATATACTATTACTGCCCTTCATCTTATTCAGACCTGCTTATTAATTCTCTTATAAATTTATAATGTCCCCAAATTTACACACACCCACACATTGCATGTACCTCACGAAACCCCTCTAACTGCCCTCAAACACATTACTCCATGTAGTCCTTATCCTAATGTGTAAACATGTCACTGCCTAACCTTAAAAAAGCCAAACACCACTGCCTTGGCCCTTACCATTTAATCCATATCTTAAAAATTACTGCCCGTACACTATCCTCACATTCAATCACACCAAACACAACTCACTGCCCTCAAGCAAAACAAAAAACACTGCCCTTGACCTTCTCTTTCCTTACATACTGCCCACCCTTTCCAGAACCATTGTTACATTGTTCCTCTTCCAATTCAATAAAACATGGAAACCACATTGTCCACACACAGAAGAATTGGATGTCGAACAACAACAAAAAGCCAAAACAATTCAAAAAACTTTGTTGGGACTTGATACATCGTTGTTCACCGCCATCGCTTCCTTGGTTTCTTCAAACCCTATTGTCCAAAGTTCGTTGCTTTCTTTGGTATAGTGTTGTACAAGGAAGTTGTTCCCTAGTTTCTTCTCCTCTAGTGAATTAATGCTCTGTACCCAATCCCTATGAAATCGCCGTTTTACAATTTCTTTTTTTTCATTTGGGTTCAAACTACTCACAAACGGGTAATTGAGGGCATTGTAGTCATTTTCTATGCAATTAGAAGCGTACGGTATGCATGTTTTCCCTTATTATATTGACTTTAGCTTCAACTCGAGTCATTTAAGAAAAATATAGTTTAATTTTATTGATCAAAATGGCGTTCGTTTTGGTGTTGGCTATTAAACATAGTGTTTTGTCATTCATTCTGTCCATATCTGCAGATGATGATTTTGAAGAATTTGAACAAACATGTGCTGGTAATGTGTTCTGGAATGAAGAAGTTGTGAAATAGATATATTAGAATAGATAGAAAGATAGATGGATGGATGGATGAATGGATGGATAGATAGATAAATAGATAGATATGTAGGTAGGTAGATAGTGACTTTAGATTAGATATCCTTCTTCATATGAAATTTACTGAATGAATTTAGTAAGATGATGATTTTGAAGAATTTGAACAAACATGTGCTGGTGATGTGTTCTGGAATGAAGAAGTTGTGAAATAGATATATTAGAATAGATAGATAGACACACATATAGATAGATATGTAGGTAGGTAGATAGTGATTTTAGATTAGATATTCTTCTTCTTCATATGAAATTTACCGAATGAATTTACAAATGATTAATCAAACTGTATTTATATTAATTGGGTTTGGGGATATATCATCAAATGATGATTCTGCATATCTCAAGATCGATGAAGCAATGACGATGAAATCCGGTCATCTGTTATACTCCCTCCGTTTCTAAAAGAAACTCACACTTTCCTTTTTGAGGTGTTTCAAAAACAAAGTCACACTTCCCTTATTTCCTTATTTGGCAAAGAAATCTACATCCAAACAGTGTCAAACAGTGCAAAACAGTGCCAAATAGTGTCCAAACAGTGTCAAACAGTGTCTAAACAATGTTTTCTACAGTAAATTCAATTTATTTCCTCAATAATCGTGAAGTAAAACCGTGACTTTCTTTTGGAAACGGAGGGAGTATATTGAAAGTAAGGATGTTTTTACTTGAACTGTTTTCAGTCCCTGACCAAGTTAGATTAGGCTTAATCAGACCAAGCCAGACCAATTTAGACTACACCAGGTAAGATCAGTTCAGACCAGACCAAACTTTCATAGTTATAAAATACACTGAGACCAGACATTTACCAGATTAGACTTCCGTAGTTATAAAATACAACGAGACCACACATTTACCTGATCAGATCAGACCAGAACTAAACAGACCAGACAAAGTTTAAAGAGACCAAACCAGACCAGATAAAACCAACAAAATTCAATACAAGTAAAAACTATACAACGTTGTAATTACAAGAGCCATTCATAGTAATTCTTGAAATTTCTCAACAATATTCACCTAGTGTAAGTGATTGATGCGGCATGTGTGATATAGATATATACAGGCATACAGCCCTAGGGATGTACTTACACATGACTGACTCATCCCTGCCTGTGAGTCTGAACAAACATATGAGCAATACCCACCACCACTAAGAACCCACACAATGGATTTGGGAAGCATGGAAAACGAACCCACCACAACGAATAAAACGGGGAATTGCAGCAAAAGCACGACCTTCACCTCATCTACCGCCAGCTACAAGAACTCCGCCAGCAAGGCAATGGCGCAGTACAATGCTGATGCAAAGTTAATGGCCGAGTTTGAGCAGTCCGGGGAGTCTGGTAAATCCTTCAACTACACTAGGTCTGTCATTAACGCCACCCAGGATGCCACCGAAGAAGAAATGATTGCTTACCTGTCAAGAATCCAAAGAGGTGGTCTCATCCAACCCTTTGGTTGTATGCTTGCTGTGGAAGAACCCACTTTCAAAATAATAGGGTTCAGTGAGAATTGCTTAGATTTGTTGGGTCTGAAGACCTTCGTTGACCCAGGCGACCAAAGGAGTCTGATTGGGATTGACGCCCGGACTCTCTTCACCCTCTCCTCACGGTCTTCACTGGCTAAAGCCGTCGCATCTCAGGAGATTTCTCTGTTGAATCCAATTTGGGTACACTCCCGGAGCAATCAAAAGCCCTTCTATGCCGTCCTCCACAGGATCGACGTAGGGATCGTGATTGATTTGGAGCCGGCCAGCTCCAGCGATCCCGCTCTGCTGCTAGCTGGAGCAGTTCAATCACAGAAGCTAGCCGTCCGTGCGATCTCTAGGCTCCAATCGCTACCCGGGGGAGACATAGGCACACTGTGTGACACTGTAGTGGAAGATGTGCAGAAGCTCACGGGGTATGATAGGGTGATGGTTTATAAGTTCCACGACGATGATCACGGAGAGGTTGTGTCAGAAATCAGACGGTCAGATTTAGAGCCTTATTTAGGGTTACACTATCCTGCCACCGATATCCCACAAGCTGCACGCTTCTTGTTCAAGCAGAACAGGGTCAGGATGATATGCGATTGCAATGCAAAACCTGTCAGGATTTTTCAGACGGAAGAACTAAAGCAGCCGCTCTGTTTGGTCAATTCAACCCTCAGGTCGCCACACAGCTGTCATACCAGCTATATGGCTAACATGGGGTCCACAGCATCTTTAGCCATGGCCATTGTCATTAACAGCGGTGAGTCAATGAAGCTATGGGGACTGGTAGTGTGTCACCACACCACCTCGCGGTACATCCCTTTCCCGCTGCGCTACGCGTGTGAGTTCCTCATGCAAGCATTCAGCCTTCAGCTTCATATGGAAATTCAGCTGGCCACACAGCTGGCCGAGAAGAAAATCCTTCGTACCCAAAGCTTGTTGTGTGACATGCTTCTCCGAGATGCTCCCTTAGGGATAGTGACACAGTCTCCTAGCATAATGGATCTCGTCAGGTGTGATGGTGCCGCACTCTACTACGGTGGAAAGTGTTGGTTGCTTGGTGTGACTCCAAACGAGGCACAAGTAAAAGATATTGCCGAGTGGCTGTTAAACACCCATGGGGATTCCACGGGTTTGAGCACGGATTGTCTTTTGGATGCCGGATACCCGCGGGCTGACACATTAGGTGATGAGGTTTCCGGGTTGGCCACGGCAAAGATCAGTTCGAAGGATTTCCTGTTTTGGTTTAGGTGTCACACCGGAAAGGAAGTGAAATGGGGTGGGGCCAAGCATCATCCGGAGCAGAAAGATGATGGCAGAAGAATGCACCCTCGTTCTTCTTTCAATGTCTTTCTTGAAGTGGTGAAAGGGAGAAGTTTGCCTTGGGAGGACTCTGAAATTAACGCTATTCATTCTTTGCAGCTCATAATGAGGGACTCACTCAAAGTGATCGAGAAGAACTGTGTGAAAAGCATGTCATCGTCTTCACAACAGAGCGATTCCGAAGGGACGAGGTTTTATGAGCTTAGCTCTATGGCACGAGAATTGGTAAGGTTGATTGAGACGGCTACGGTTCCCATTTTTGCAGTTGATTCATCTGGTTTTATCAATGGATGGAACTCTAAGATTGCAGAACTTACGGGGTTGGAAGCTGATGTGGCACTCGGCAAGCCTCTCATGGATTATGTCACTCATGAGGATTCTCGCAAAAGCTTCAGAAGTCTTATGTGTAGAGCTCTACAAGGTAAATAATTAATTTGTTCCTTTAGTTGAATAGAAGTTAAAGTTGCCATCAATCACATCTTCATGCTTTCTTTATTTTTTTCTTGATTTATTCATGAATGCCTTCTAAACTTGATAGCTGCCTTTCTATACCTGATAGGTTACTTTCTGCCGGTAAGAATTTTAATTAAAATTTGATTCAGGGGTTGTTCATTAACGCAGTTAACATAAGCATGACTGGTTACTCTGTTTCTACATGATCTACTGTCCTGTGTTCTGTATTGATTTTTTTCTTAAGCAAGAGTACAACATTTATCTTCCATTTCACACTTGTGATCCCCCTATTATAAATTTCAGTTCAATTAAGGCGTAATTATCAATGGCGTCAGTGCACACTGCATAAACCTCCAATGGCATTTGAAGCCCTCTTCGCAACAGAAACGCTCCATGGCAACTAACATACATGTGGTGGTGCCATTACATTTGCCATGCCATTGTCTTTTCCATGCCATATGCGCCTCAATTCCGGCCAGATTGTTGGCAAATTAATTTAACTATTGTTGGGTCTTGGGCCTAATTTTTTTATTCACGGGTCAGTCCACAATATTAGCCGACCCCAAACTCTTTTGGGACCAAGGCTAGGATTTTGTTGTTGTTGTGCAATCCACAATAAAACAACAGCATCCAAACCTTAGTTTCAAAAGAGTTTGGGCAGTCCACAATATGGGAAAAAAACTAATTCCCAGCCATTACAGTACAAGAAGTGACAACTAGTGGGATATACAAACTAGAGCTTCCTCGCTCTGCGCAAGCTGTGCGATAATCATAGAAGTTGCACAACAACCAAACGAAAACAGAGGAGCTGTGTGAATTCAATGTCGAGGAAGTATCATTCTTATCATATTCAGATGCAGATGAAGATTAGATTATTATGATCGCACATATTTTGGAAGGCTTGAACTTGTTTTTGTTTTTAAGTTGATTTTTACATGCTTCACACTTGCCTAAGTGTGTTTTGGTTATAATTTGGTTACTTAACTCATACTCACTTATTGATGGTTGAACTATAGAACTATACGATCTATAGTTCATATTCATACTTGCTTTTTTTGTATCATGTGCGCCATAAATTTGCCACGGGAAAATGGCTCATCGCCATCATTGTTGCCATACGCCTGACAACCATCCATTATGGCTCTGTATGATTACATGAAAATACTTTCATGAAAAATTCATTTTTGTTTTGCACAGGAAAACATATCCTTGCATTTACCACTGGACGGAAAATACATTCATGATTCATGTTCTTCACGCTTTTGTGGAAAATGACTTTCCGTTTTGATAACAGGCAAAACAGGAAGTTATTTTCCTTTTTGTGTTTTCTACTGTGGATCAGACATCGTAGCATCTACATGGAACAAGTTTCTTTCCTGAGATACCGTTATCCACAACAAATTATTTTCCTGCAAACAGAGCCTGTGTTTTTTCCCACTTTTGAACCCTATTATTCTATTTCATTTCATTGCACATTAAGTTCTTCTTTTTTTAATTTGCTCATCAGGTCCATCTTATTGATTGTGACCAATTGGTCATATGTACAAACAATAATTCATGATTCACGCTGGTTCAGGTGAGGAGGGCAAAAACATGGAAGTAAAGCTGTTAAACTTTGGGAAGCAGCAAACAAGGGAAGTCGTGTACCTTGTAGTTAATGCATGTACAAGTAGAGATTGTCAAAATGATATTATCGGGGTGTGTTTTGTGGGTCAAGACATTACACCACAGAAAGTTGTCATGGATAAATTTGTCCGCTTGCAAGGGGATTATGAGGCAATTATACAAAACCCCAACCCACTAATCCCACCGATATTTGCTTCCGATCAGAATGCATGCTGCTCCGAGTGGAATGCGGCTATGGAAAATTTAACAGGTTGGATGAAAACTGAGATCTTAGGAAAGAGACTCCCTGGCGAGGTTTTTGGCGGTATGTGCCGGCTAAAGGGTCAAGATGCACTTACCAAATTCATGATTCTCTTGTACCGAGGAATAAGTGGCCATGACACTGAAAAACTGCAGTTTGGTTTTTTTGACAGAAATGGGAATTTTTTAGACGTGTTCGTAACTGCAAATAAGAGAATCGACGAGAGTGGGAGTATAATAGGGTGTTTTTGTTTCTTGCAAACGTCTTCAACAAGAGACAAACAAGAAGATAATGATGATGATAGAGATTGTGTGTCAAAACTTAAAGAGTTTGCATACATAAGGCAGCAGATGAAGAATCCCTTGAATGGAATCCGTTTTACCCACAAGCTACTTGAAGGTACAGCTACTTCCGATGATCAGAAACAGTATCTGGAAACAAGTGAAGCATGTGAAAGGCAGATACTGTCTATAATTGAGGATATGGATTGTGGAGGCATAACAGAGGGGTAACTTTTTTTGAACGTTCTTTGCTACTCTTACTAATAATCACTTTTGTCCCATCTTGCTAGGAACCAGAATAGTAAAAGGAAAAGTAGATGTCGATTAAGAAGAAAATACTGAAACGGTAAAGAAGAAAAACAGTTTGAGACTCTTCGAGAGGTCTCACTCTCCCAATTCCCAGTCCCGACTAATTTTCCGCCTACCTTATTCTCCCCCTACCCGATTTTATAATAACACTCTCCTAAAGGGCCGGCCCTCAACTAAGTTACTGGGCCTAGAACCCTATTATTGAACAATATTAAAATACTTCGTTAGACTCTTATTATTAATAGTGTCTGGATCCCTATCATCACTCTCCCCTTGAACTTCCACCTTGTCCTCGAGGTGGATGATAAGAAACTGTTCTAGCATTTGGCTTCAACGGAATTTCTGCTACATCCAGTTCAGACAGCTGTGCATCTGATCCTTTCTCCTCTTCTAGACCTTCCATAAGGACACATTGATAATGTTTCATTCCGCAAACATGTTCTTTACTCCATTTGTCTCCACGACTCCACATTTAAAACACAGGCCCTTTCTACTTCTTTCGTCTAGCTCTGCTTGTGACAACCTTTGGCCTCCCTCCCCTGTTTGGTTCAGTTTTGGTGTTTCCTTTGTTTTAATTTCGGCCGAAACCTTCTCAGTGAGGCTGATATTATTTTGGTCATGTCTCTTCCACCAGTTCCCTTATATCCACTTTTGAGGCTTGGATACAGCCCCCCCTTTATCTTTCCATCCACGTTTATCTTCCTCCTGGGAACTTCTTACCCTGAAAGCTGCATTTTTTTTCTTCCAGGAGAAGTGCCCGATCCATGAGCTCGGTCAAACATTGAGATGGATACAATTTGAGTTCGGCTTTGATTTCATCCTTCAGGCCATTCATGAAAATACCCTTAAACATTTCATTGTCAGTGTTCCTGATGGGGGCTACTATCAGTTCGAATTTATTCCGATACTCCATAACTGATCCTATCTGCTTCACGCTAAGACTAGGACCGAAGAGATTTTGCACCATCCCCGGTTGGAACCGTCGAATCACAGCTTCCTTAACATTTTCCCAGGAACGTTTATTGGTCTGTTCCTCCCACCATTGGTACCAGTTTAAAGCTTTCTCCTCCATTGCCACTACCACCATCTCTATTTTCTCAGTCTCCTTAACTTGATTCAACCGGAAAAACCTTTCCACCCTAATGATCCACCCTAATGATCCACCCATGTGCATCTTCCCCGTTAAAAACAGGTAAGTCAACTTTCCTTCCTGTGCGAGCATAACACCTATTTACTGTAGGTTCTGGAGTAAAGGACGAAGCGTGAGAACTGTTAGAATGACCTCTGGTAGGCGACGAGTTCACACTTCCCTCCCGGCGATGATGTTTAGACACCCGCGACCGTCCTCTTCTCCTATGGCGATCACCGTGTAACATCAGATTCTTCAGTTCGGCCACCGTCTCGCGCAAGCCAAGCAGTTTGTTCACGGCAGTTATCACTTCCACTAAGGTGTGTTCTAGGTTTTCCACACGTTGCTCCATTCTCGATCGAGTAAAGACCATGCGCAAGTATAGCGAAGTTACTCGCTTTGATACCAAATGATAGGAACCAGAATAGTAAAAGGAAAAGTAAATGTCGATTGAGAAGAAAATACTGAAACGGTAAAGAAGAAAAACAATTTGAGACTCTTCGAGAGGTCTCACTCTCCCAATTCCCAGTCCCGGCTAAATTTTCCGCCTACCTTATTCTCCCCCCTACCCGTTTTTATAATAACACTCTCCCTAAGGGCCGGCCCTCAACTAAGTTACCGGGCCTAGAACCCTATTATTGAACAATATTAAAATACTTCATAAGACTCTTATTATTGATAGTGTCTGGACCCCTATCACGTCTATGATATATCCTTTTTTGTTTACCTTATTTTTTTTCAGACTAATCTTATAGCTTAAGGACATGTTTACTTTGATGTTAAACTCACCGTTAGCTTATTAAGATGTCCGAAGTAAACGTCTCACGCTGGGTAAAAGCACGGTTACTAAACAGTTTCACCCTTTAACCGGTGCTTATTAAACGCATGCCCCCCGTGTTTTATTTAATCGGTGGCTTAAGCATTTCTTTATTGACAGTTCTGCCCTTATTTCATAGGCTTGTAATTTTTTTATTACACGTATACCCTAGCAGCCCTTCTTCTTCCTTCTCCTTCTCACGACATCTCATTTTCTGCCAAACTTTGTTCTCTTCCAAAGTCCAAACTTTTTCTCACATAAGAAAAAATCGCCAGGTAATTGACACCGGCGTAACTCCTCCATGTCGCAATCGACACCTCAGGTAAAACGTAAAATTAACCTTTATTTAGGTATATTGTGTGAGATAGAATTTCGAAATTTGTTGGATAAAAGTTTAAACCTAACCTGCGATAACCTGCTATTCGTATACAATGGCTATTTCGGAAGAAGTGTGGAGTTAGGGTTATATGTATTTGATATTTCTGGTGGTATACTTCATCTAGTAAAGGGAAATCTGTCATATTGATTCATTTTATAGTAAGAATATTTGAACTCATGGATTGGTGCGAAGTCTAGTTGCCTGACACTCCCTTTGCCTTACGGTAAGAAGAAGAATCAAACTCAAACCTGGGACTTGCTTGCTACCCATGATAGTCTTTCAAGATTGAAAATGAAAGTGTCAAAGAAACGGGTACGGCTAGTCCTATGAAGTAAGGTTATTGTTGACATTTTGTATATAACACACCTTTTAAGCCCAATGAAGTAAATGTATGTTAGGTTATTTAAGCCCAAATTCAAAACAAAGTAAACATGTCCTTAGTAAGCCTATCTTAATAAGCAATGGCTTATTATCCCATGTCTTCATAAGCATTGCTTATTAAACATCAAAGTAAACATGTCCTAAGTTTTTAATGGTATTACTTACGAACGTCTACTTGATTATTTTGTAAATCAGCATCGGTAAAAAAGATAGATAACTAATTATATATTTACATGGATACAACACATCTTGTTTTGGATCTTTGAATACAGATAGACCCAAATGTTGTCTAAATAGCAACATCTTCGTGTTGAATCGTGTACGAATTTCTTAAATATGTACATTTCTTTGTTCTTTTATTAGCTCATTTTCACTCTTGAGTGATTTCTTTATAGCCTTTCAAGATTGTTTTGCTGATATATATGAAGTTACTAGTCATTATACAAAGTTAGTATCCAATATACAATTCTAAAAGCAAATATAGCAGTTTCCCAGCCAACTAATTATCATAAACAACTCATACTACCTCCGCCCCAAAAAGCTCTGCCAACAACAACAACATCATCTAAGCCTTAGTCCCAAAAGATATTGGGGTCGGCTAACATGAATCGATACATGATATCACCACCAAAAGGAAAAGAAAGAAAATAAAGATAAAAAAGATAAGCTATTATAAAAAGATAATATAAAAAGAGATGAATATACATAAAAATGATACAATAAAAAGGATACAAATAATGCTTATATATATAAGGATAAAAAACAAGGAAAAAAGATGAGGGGAAAAGATGATACAAGATCACTCCTCCACACGAATACCCGCCCTCCACTTAGCTCTCCAAAGTCATGCCCTCATCCAACCCCAGAAGAAGCATATCACTTCGAACTCCCCTAACCCACATCTGTTTGGGTCTTCCTCTCCCTTTCTTCTCTGCCTCTTCTCCACACATCTCAACTCGTCTAACAGGTGCATCACTCGGTCTACCACGCACATGACCAAACCACCGTAGGCGCGACTCCCGCATCTTGTCTTCAATAGGTGCTACTCCCACCCTTTGTCTGATTGTCTCATTTCTCACGCGGTCCTTCCTAGTATGCCCACACATCCAACGCAGCATGCGCATCCCTGCCACACTCATCTTTTGAGTGTGACATTGTTTCACCGCCCAACACTATGCAATACAGTAATGCAAGCCTAATTGTTGTCCTATAAAATTTACCCTTCAGTCTAGTCGGCATACCTCGATCGCATAGAAATCCTGACGCACTCTTCCACTTCATTCACCCTGTTCTGATTCTATGGGATACATCTCCATCTAACTCACCGTCCTTCTGAATTATGGAGCCCAAGTAACGGAACATATCGCTTACTGGTATCTCCTTACCATCCAGAGTAATTCCGCTATTACCACTGCTTCTACCTCCACCATACTTGCACTCCATGTACTCTGTCTTGCTCCGACTTAGTTTGAAACCCTTATTCTCCAATGTTTTTCGCCATACTTCCAACTTTGCTTTAAGACCTGATTGCGTCTCATCAATCAATATAATATCGTCGGCAAACATCATGCACCACGGTATATCGTCTTGAATTGACTTCGTAAGTTCATCCATGACTATGGCAAATAAGAAAGGGCTCAGAGCCGATCCTTGGTGCACTCCGATAGTAATAAGGAACTCTTCAGTCCTTCCTACACTAGTACGGACAGTAGTACAATCCTCATACATATCCCCAAAAAGCTCTGCCATTTCAAAAAAATTGAACCTTGATTTTGATTAGTATTATATTATAGAAGTTAAAAGTTTTATACTTTTATGAAAGTACTTTTAACAAAGATTTTGATTATTTTCAACAAAAATATATAGTCAGTCAAAGTTTTGAAAATGTCAAAGTTTTTTTGGGACAGAGGTAGCATTAAACAGACCGTTAGGGTAGTTGTAGTTTGTTGATGTTTTTTTTTTCCTATTTTCAGTTTTGAATTTATTCTTATGGTTTCCTTTGTTTTGTTCTCATATTTCTAATTTACTAACACATAATCCAATTCCCAATTTTTGTAGATTAATATTATTCCGTATCTATTATCATTTATAAAAATCTCCTGAACGTTTTATGCTCAGTGTCAACATAGGAAACATTTTTCCGAGAACAATTGAAATACTAAATTCTTGTTTCCTGAAATTTCCTGAAGGGCATTATTGCTTTCTTAAACTTCTAGCAAAAAACAGTCCAGTCAAATGCTATTTTTTTGTTTCCAAAAAGTGAAATGTGAAACAGAAACAAAATAGATTGCCAAACAAAACTTCAGTGCTCTGCATTTGATTCGTTTGGTATTTCGCTCTTGTTTTCCTTGCTCTTTCTGATTTTCATGGCTTAATGTATCCATGAATTCTTCAAAGATCCACACAATGGCATCAATGTGGGGTTTTAAGCAAAAAATCACAAGTATTAAGGGGTTTTCTTTAAAACGTTTGTAAGTTTTTCTCATAAAAAGGAAGTTGCTGCTTTCTACTTATGTTTCTTTCTCCTGGATTTCTAGCAGCACTGTGGAGCTCACGACAGAAGAGTTTGTGATAGGGAGTGTCATAGATGCAATTGTTAGTCAAGTTATGATTCCGCTGAAGGAGAAAAATGTGCAACTACTCCATGATATCCCTGACCATATCAAATCCCTCACTGTATATGGGGATCAAATTAAGCTCCAGCTCGTCTTATCTGATTTCTTGCTCAGTGTCGTGAATTATGCACCTTCTCCAGATGGTTGGGTGGAAATCCGGGTGATCCCTGGGTTGAAGCTGATACAAGATGGGAATGAGTTTATTCATATCCAGTTCAGGTAAAATGGTACCATATGTATTTCATCATTTCCTTTATAACATATTAAGTATTTCAGAAAAATACATTTTTTTCAATTTTAGTCTCAGTTCTGGGTATGTATATATAGAGAAAGAAAAGTTCGCCTCCGGAATTCCAGAGGTGTACCGTCGTCGGCCGCCGCATTTTTGTGGAGTTTTTTGATGTTTTTTTTGAGCAAGTTCTTCACGAAATGTAGATTATGTACACAAAATTTCAGCTTAAAATTCCATCTAGAAGTCAGTTAAATAAATAATTGAAAATACCGCGTTATATATATATTTTGGCGCAGCGTTTTTCTATAATTTCTTTAACTGACTTCTAGATCGAATTTTAAGCTGAATTTTTTTGAACATAATCTACACTTCATGTAGAACATGCTAACAAAATCTCATCAAAAACTCCACTGGGAACTACGTCAAATCGCGGCCGCCGGACGGCAGTATTTCCTGACCGGAAGATTACCCTATAGGGATGTCAAAAAAAAAGGCCCGCAATGACCCGCCCTGGCCTCAGACATTTGGGGCGGGTCTGGCCTGCCCCGCCTATACAATGGGGCAGGTCCGGGTATTAGTATTGACGCGTGCCGCCCCGCCCCGACCCATTGCCATGCCTATTACCCTATATATATACTTTGTATATTCTACTAGTACAACAGATTTATCTACTCATGTAGGGCCTAGTCCCCCCTCCCCTTTCTTTATGTATTCCATTCTGATTCTCAATGTAAGCTGAAAGCGTTACCCGACGTTTTCCACACCGAAAGGTGTTGTTTTCTGGTCCTATATAATTCTACTAGTATTATCATACATGAAACCACTTAATTCCAAAGAAAATATTTCCCTTCAGAAATTATTTCACAAGTTACTCTCTGTAGTCTAACAGTACTCTAGTTTATAAACTATTTATGTTACTATCATTGTGTCTCATCTTTTGGAATGGGTGATTATACAATGCCTCAGTATCTGAAGAAATTGCCACATGTACTAAAGGCTTATTAGTTATGTGCCATACATATAATCTTGATAATGATAGGAGCATGGGCAAGGGTCTCGAGTAAAGGGTGAAAATACATCATATAAGGTTGTGGATCATGATGTGAAGTTAACAAGTTGGAATTTTTGTTGTTAACATCTCCAGTGTGAAATGCATACAAGGATTTTTTGGTGTAAATTTCTTTTAAAATGTAAAACCGAAATATAATGTTTTATAATAATTTAATCTGATTTTCACATTTCCTTCATAGAATGACTCATCCTGGGCAAGGATTGCCTGCCGCTCTAACTGAAGACATGTCAAGAGGAGGAACGAGATGGACAACACAAGAAGGGGTTGCTTTACATTTCTCAAAGAAACTTGTTGGTATGATGAGTGGTCATGTCCACTACATCAAAGAACAACACAAGTGTTACTTCCTCATTGACCTTGATTTCAGAACACATAAGGCAAGGTTAAGGGGGTCGAGTATGGATACAAGCAGTACGAACTGATTCTATCTCCGTATTTTTGTTTTTCCTCAATTGTCAACGGCACACATTTTCAGGATACCATTTTTTTTCTTCTTACATAATTCTGATTTTGGGTAATTGATTCTTGTTAAGATTGCCTCGACTGTCATGATGAAGAAAACTCATGTAGTGAGCGGTATGTATATATGTCCTTTTTTGCTGTGATTGTATTCAGGACTCAGGAGGATTTTGTACACTTGTGTATGCTAAGGACATTGTAATCTATTACCATAAACCTGCGATTTTTAGTATTGGAAGTCACATTTCATGATTACCATTCCACTCAGATCTACCCCCAAATAGTAAATCCTCTGTCTAATTCAAAGGTCATTTAGACAGTAATTAATATGGTAATTTATAAATGATACGGTTATAAATGATACGCTTATTTGGACAATAATTATATATATGGTAATTCGAGTAGGGATGGATCGGGCCTCGGGATGGGCTCATGTGATACTGATATTTTGGGCTAAAGGCCTGGTACTAGCTCGAGATTCCACCAGGATCGGTCCAGGCCGGTCTATTCGCTCGGGTCTCGGGTTGGGCCGGTACTAACTCGAGACGCTTGTTTGCTTCCACGATTGATTGAAGGCTGAACGTAGAACTCAAGAACTTAACATCGCCCTTATCTGCCACTTCATGGACGATTCTGAAGATTCTGACTGATTATAAGGAGAAGTATTTAATGTTATAAATTTTTCTCAATTCTCAATTGTAGTTCATATTTCAAATAAATATACTTTAACTTTTTTATATCTAGCACTTCTTGAATTATTTTTTAAACAAGATTTCAAAAAAAAAATATGCCTGACTCGACCCGACTCGAGACTCGGGCGGGTAGATTGGCCCGGACCAGTCTCAGTGGAATCCCAGGCTTGTACTGGGCCTTAGGCCCAAATAATTAGTACCACCCAGGCCCGGTCCACCCCTATCTCCATAGCATCTCCTAACGCGGCTAGTCCATCTTTTACACATAAATTGAGAATATGACATGCTCAACGCTGATGAAAAAATCTAGCCATCAAAGAAGAAGAACCACACAATTCACGGAATCAAGGTATAACATCGTTATTATTACTAGCATTATCAAAACTCATAGCAAACACCTTATCAATCAAATTATACTCAATTAAAATACGCTCAATAAGAATATAAATATTATCAGCAGTGTGTCGATCATTAAATTCACGAAAAGCAAGTACACGTTTATGCATTTCCCAATCATCATCAATATAATGTGCAGTCACACCCAAATAATATAAATAATGACGAGTATCCTCCCATATATCACTACAAATACTTACACGTCCATCAAAGTTTGCGAAAAATATTTGTAATTTCTCCTTTTCCAAACCATATTCCCTTATAACTTCTTTTTTAATGGTTTTGCGACTATAATTTCTAAACCGAGGATTTAAAGAACCTTGATCATAAGCTTTTAAAGCAAGACTTTCAGGAAAAATAAAAGGGCAAATTTTCTTCAACAATTAAGTGAGACATAACAGTTAAATGTTTGGAATCATCATAGGAGAAATTACCATAGGGTTGACCGGATGCAAACCTCGATATTTGAGTTTGCTTCCCCTTGTCTTTTAATTTCGCATACTCCACGGGGCGACGAGCCTTAATATGCCTATCAGCGCCGTCGTATCCTCCGGAAATCCCCAAGCTAGTATCTTTCTTAGAATGGTTGCAAGTTGCGTACCACTTCTCAGTTTTTTGTCCTTCCACTTTATAATTATTTTTCATAAGGAAAGATTCACCTTTCTTACCGGGTTGGGATGAACCAGCCTCATCCTCGTTGTTGGTGTCATCGTCCGGGGTTTGAGAGCTGCCTTGTTCGTGTTCGACCGTCGCCGGATCCTCCTCTTCCATGTCCTCATCCTCGAACTCTTCCTTAATGTCGGGGATGTCATGTTGTTGATAAAAGCGTCCATCTTGATGGACCAATAGTTGTTGTAGTTGCGCGTCGGACATCGCATCCGCATCTCTCCGTTGGTAATCCGTTTCAAAATCATCCTGGCTTTGAAAAGAAGACCCGACGTGTCCTTTACCTTTGCCTCGCGAATTAGGATGGTTCTTCCCAATCTCATTCTTTCGGTTGCGTTGGAGGTTACCCAAATCTACAAAATGTCTACCACGCTTCATCTTAAATTGTAACAAATATTAAATTCTAACAAATATGTTAATGTGAGTACAAAAACAATGCAGTAATAACAAATGTAAGTAATTTGTAACATACTTAAAATGTGACTTTTATATGTGATTATACTATAAAAAGGGACTGTTTTTTTACTAAAATGTGAATAGTAAAACTAAAGCAAAATTCAAGTAGTTTAATAAATACTTTAATCCAACAAGTGTTAATATAACAAGTGTAGTAAGATTAACTAAAATTCCAACTACTTTAATAGTTTAATTAACTAAAATTGCAACTAGTTATATTATAGTTTAAAATTAACTATAATATATGTATTTATAAGTAGATAATAAATCTATAAGTAGATATAATAATTGTATAACTAATATATAATATAATTTTTATAGTATATAATATATAAGTATACTACTATAAGATGAGTAATACACTTATATATGATACTTTAGTATATATACTTAATATATTAATTAGATGTAATATGTAAATATAAGTAATTAAAAAGTATATAATAAGTAGATATTTAGTAGATAATAAGTATATATTAAGTAGATAATAAATATAAGTAATATAATATATGTATTTATAAGTAGATAATAAATATATAAGTAGATATAATAATTGTATAACTAATTTAAATAGATATGATATGTATTAATAGGTGTAGAGAGAATTGAAGAAGATGTAGATGGAGATGATTAGAGAGTAGAAAGAATTGGAGAATAGGTGTAGAAAAATGTTTGGAAAATAGGAGTATATATAGATTTTTTTGTACCCCCACCCCCAACCCCAAACCCCCCTCCAACGGCTATAGAGCTGTTTGGCACTTTGGCAACAGCTAGGAGCAGCCCAATCAATTTAAAAGTTTTTTTTTTTAATTATACTCCCTCCATCTCGTTGGAATGTTCCCGGTTTGACCTACACATATTAAGGAAATAAACTTATCAGGGGGTAAATTTTATTGTTTTGACACTGTTTCGACACTGTTTGACACTGTTTTGCACTGTTTGACCCTGTTTTGATGTAGGATAACTTTCCATTTAGGGAAATGAAAACTTTCCAACGGGACATCCAAAAAAGGAAAGCGGGAACATTCCAACGGGACGGAGGGAGTAGTTGTTATCGGCCTGGGTCGGTCCCCCTCTTCCCTATCCTGTAGCCCCCCCCCCCCCCCCCCCCCCCCCCCCCCCCCCGATTCGGTCCCCATGGACCGGTACCGCTCCCGGTCGGCGGTCTGGTTCGGTACTAAACAGTACCTGGCCGGGCCAACTCGTCTCAGTCCATACCTGAATTCGAGTATATTTTGAGAAATAATTTTGATGGTTATATAATAGAATGAGGTCATTGATGATATCTTATTAACTTTGATTTTATAGATGTATTTTTTTTGATATTGATGATTAAATTGTCATTTAAAAGTAATGAGTATTGATTATTTTCCAAAATAGAATGAGAACTTTTAAGTGAGATGTTCCAAAAAGGAAAGTGAGAGACGAAGGGAGTAATAATAATAATTACAATAATAGTAATAAAATGAAATTCCCACATATATTTGTTGGTTTCTTGATGGGAAATGCCCGGTTTATAATTTCAAGTATGGATGGATCTGGTTCCAGAATTAACCTGAAATCGGACGGGTAAAATATTGAAATAGGTTACTTACTAGACACCTTTTCTTTTGTTCTAGATCGGAACAACATAGAGTATGAGATCAAACTGATTCTGGTTCCTGCAATATATGACCTAGACTGTATTGACTACTGGTTTCAGTTTGTGTTCTGTTTTTAAGAGCCGAAGCCTAAGTCATGTAACTCGTCCACTCAGGCACGGTTACAAGTAGGTGTACTTTTGGACTGAGAGACGGCTAAGGTCTTGCTGGGAGAGAAATAATAGGAACCATAAATTAATTGATTAAAATAAATCTGACAATTTTTTTGGGATAACAAAAAATTACTTGCTTAAAATAATATATTATACCAGCCTGAATTGGTTATTGAATGTTGTAATAGTGTTAGTAGATTTAAGTTTTTTATTAGACTTTGAAAGCTACTACTCCCTTCGTCTCAACTAAAGATTCTCACTTTCTATTTTAGGCAATAATGACATTTTTAATGATAATTTGATCATCAAATACTAAAAATAACACATATTTAACATCACAATTATCATCTTCAATGACCAAAATATATTATATACTCATCAAAACTAGTTCTCAAAATATACTTGAATTATCAGTTAAGAAAAATAAGAACTGATATCTTCAAAAAAAAATTAACTACATCCATTTTTAAATAAGTAAATTACAAAAGTGTGCAATTAATTTTGAATAAAAAACAATAAGCCATGATGAAATTTAATGGATAAAAATAGGCATTGATCATTTTTTTATTTAGGTAAAGATAGTTGAAAAGATTAATTTCATTTGGATACAATTGAGAGTTATGAAAAAAATGCTTTTTTCATTAGAAAATATGTGCTGGATTTTTTTAGATAATCGGTTAAAATGCTATTTTCATTAGAAAATATAGACTACAAAAATGTTTAAATAATTGTTAACTGGTTGTACGTTAAAAACTACAGAGTACTTATTAGTTCTACGTGAGCTCGTTGACGGCTAAAAATCGTTGTAAGCCTCAAAATGATATTCAATACAACACTTATACGTAGTATATCGTAGTAAGGTTCATATTCACAGGGAAATAAATACTTCTGTTATTTTATAGAATTTGTAATTAAAAGGGGTTACTAAGATTGATTTAATTAATTTAACACTAAGATAAACGACTTATGTAGTTTCATTAAACAAAGATTGAAATTTGTTTTTGCTTATATCCACTTAATGAAATGTTCATCAATTCCGCTTATATTTTTAACTGTTTTCCTCTCGAATACTCAATTGTGGATAAGGGTGGACCGGGCCAAGGCCGGGACTGAGCGAGACTGGAGTCCTGCCGTCCTGGGTTGCAGACCCGGTACCGGGCCGAGCTAGGCCCGAGTCATTTTTTTTAAATGGCTATCTAATTAATTTCCACCCCCACCCCCAAACCACCCACCTAGCTGCAACCCAAAGAAAAAAAAAGCCCCAAGCCGGTCACCATATTTCCTATCTCACAGCCCCCACAGTACCGGTCCCGGTACTGCTCGGTGGGCCAGATCGGGCCAACACAGTGGCAGGCCAGACCAGGTCCCGGGCCGAGCCGACCCGTCCTAGTCCATCTCTAGTCGTGGGTAGTTATTAATAACGAAACACGTTCATTAATAAAACTTACTATCAAATCAATATAGAAGTTCACCTTATATTGATCTTATGGTAACAATAAAACTTAAGATCAAATCAACTGAGATTGACAACCGCAACACAAGCGATTTATTAGTTTGATCAATATAATTAATTCCTCAAAGATTATTAACCATGAGGAATACATTAATAATTCAAGTTCACTACCGTTGAAAGGACCGAGTGAATAATAAGCATATTCATCGATCAATTCTGGTAATAATAAATATATAAAACAAAACTAGTTGACTCTTTAAGTAATGCTCAAATATTAATATAGGATATAAAATAGAAATGTACTATCTCCGTTACTATTATAACTTCCAAATAGGTTTGTCACACAATTTAAGATAATGACTAATGAGTATTGTGTAGTGGAGAGTTGTGCAAAGGAGAGAGAAACGTGTAAGAAATGTTGTGAACCACAAATTCTTTACCAAAAAGGAAAAATGGAAGTTTTAATTGGAACGAACGAAAAAGGAAAGTTGGAAATTATAATAGGAACGGAGGGAGTAATTAATATTCAACAAAGATGATTAAAAAATAACTCACAACTTACAAATCATAAGTTTCAATGTAACAAAATCAAAATGGAAGGATTTAACCCTCATTTGACGACTAAACATGCTAGAAAATATAAAGAAAACACTTAACTAGACTGAGCTTAAGAGAATCAGACTACTTGTGAATTGGTGATTATGGAAAGGAAAATATGTGTATTTATAGGTGTTTAGAGATGACAGAGTCAAATACCCATGTATAAGGCAAATCTTCACAAATATTGCTCTCATGATCTTTTGTTCCCGGATTTAACCAAACATCCAAATCAAGCAAATACCCAAACAGGTATTTGAGCATTTTTTATTCAAATCATCTTTTGTCTCACCTCCTTGCACTTTTCTTGACCTTTTGAGATCTAATCTTGACTATTGAGCACAAGAAGTTAACATAGCACTGAACTGCCATTTCATGGAAGAAATGGCAACCGATGCCTTAAGCGGCTCTGACGATTAGTTCATGCATTTAAGTTTTAATGTTTAAACTATTCTCAATTGTATTTTATAAATGTGTAATACTCTAAGTCAACGTAAAATAAATATACACTTCATTTTTTAATTTGTAAAATTTCAATTAAAGAAAAATAAACTGGCCCTGACTCAGCCCTAGAACCGAGACCAAGACCGACTGGGTACCCGGACTGCGACCCGTATATTTCTGGGTGGGTTCCGATCTTCATATTTGCATTTGGAATGGGGACCGGACCAGGTCAAGTCTACCCCTAGTACCAGTCTCAAAGCATTTCTGAGAAAAACTAACACCTACAATCGGTCGGCAACATGCCTTTTGGAGATATCACAATTCACAACTAGTTGGACCTACCCTGTTTAGAACTATAAAAAGTCATACATAATAAATCAGTGCAAACTTTGCAGCAAATTACAATTGGGACAAAAGAAAAAGGCCATCCCACGTGGAGAAACTTCATATTAGTCAAGGTTATATTAAATTTTTGGGAGAACTATCAAATAAGCCCTCGAACTTTCATAAAAAGTGCAAATAAGCCCTTTTA